AATTAACATTTGGATTGGAGGGACGAGTTGTAGTATTGGGAAAAATGGTGCTACTCTCGTTAAATCATTTTTCGAGAAAATTTACAAGAAAAATAAGAATCCCATCCTTGCCGATGGAGTAACTCTAAACGAATGACCTCTAAGAGTAACCCTAAAGGATGAGCCGTCTATATCATGAATATTCGCGCAGAATTCCTGAAGGGGGGGGGGGGGGGGGGGGGAAAGAAAAATAAAGGTGAATGAAATGAGAAAATATTAACAAGTTTTGCTACAGAAATAAGGTGAAATACTAGGTTAAAAACAGGCTGCACGGTCGATGCATGATTGGAGAGTTTGAAAAATAAAAAAATAATAATAATAAAAAATAGCCAACAATTTGCTGACACGTCCACCTATTTTTTATTCCATATCTTTCTTTTTGTCTATCTATCTATCATTACACGACGAAGATTGACCTTATCATCGTGACAATACCTTAGAACCATTCAGTTTTAATTGTTTACAATAATCCGTAACTGTCAAAATCCCTCATCAGATGTTAGTGAGGATATTTGCCCAAATGTGGGACCCATAAGTGATGGCAATGCCCCCGTGTGGCCCCCATTCTCATTCTCATTATTTTTCTCTTTCTTATTTTTAACCACATAATCTTCCATAAAATAATATTATACTCAAATCGAAAACTTTTCATTCTTTTTCAACCACACAATTTAAAAAAAAAAAAACTATTCAAACCATCAAAATTTGGAGAGTTTGAAAAATAAAAAAATAATAAAAAAAATAGCCAACAATTTGCTAACACATCCACCTATTTTTTGTTCCATATCTTTCTTTTTGTCTATCTATCTATCATTACACGACGAAGATTGACCTTACCATCGTGACAATACCTTAGAACCATTCAGTTTTAATTGTTTACAATAATCCGTAATTGTCAAAATCCCTCATCAGATGTTATTGAGGATATTTGCCCAAATGTGGGACCCATAAGTGATGGCAATGCGCCCGTGTGACCCCATTCTCATTCTCATTATTTCTCTCTTTTATTTTTAACCACATAATCTTCCATAAAATAATATTATACTCAAATCGAAAACTTTTCATTTTTTTTCAACCACACAATTTTAAAAAAAAAACACTATTCAAACCATTAAAATTTGGAAATAATGGGAATCAAACGGGGGGCAACACAATCTACAGTAATTCCAGATAATATTATCCAAATGCCATTATTTTCTCTTGTTTCTTTAGTCACCTCTATCTCTTTCTCCAAAAGAAGGTGGCGGTGCCGGGGTGGGGGAGGGGGGGGAACACTCAACAATTACCGTATTTGTTTTTGTTTAGTCAATTTTAAATTTATTAAAAATAATACTTAATTTATTATCAATAACATTACCATTAGTTATAAAAATCACAAACCGATATTTAGCAAGTTCCATATGCTGAGATCTTTGAATATATCATTAAATCGTATAATACTAGAAATTTTACATGAAATCAAAGATGCTGTTTCAAATATAAGGAAAAGTTACAATTTCTATTATTTCTTTCATTATGAATTTTAGCAATATAAATACTATAAATCGGGTTTTTTTTTTTTTTTTTTGGGTGCTAAAACGTATAATTGTAAGGATTGTTTAAGCACTACGAATTGCAATGGATTACCTACATGTGACTTGACATCACTTGACAAATGCAGTTTTTCCTTTTCTGCATCAATCACTATTACAATTTTCTTTAGATGATCATTAATAATTGAGGGTTCTGCCTATTTCTTCCTGGATAATGGCTGTAATTTGGGTATTGACTGAACCTTTTGTTATGTATGTTTGGACTACTACTATTTTATTATTATTATTTTTTTTTTTTTTGGTCAATTGAATAATTTATTTATTTAGTTTTCCAAAAAGGCTAGGAATACAAAGCAAAATTCTTTGTTGTTGATACGAAATTAAAAATAATTGGCACTCCTTCGAATCTTTGCACAATGTGATATATAATTTGCCAATCATTCTTTCTTGATTGCATCTCAGTCTTCTCCATAAATACATATGGTAGAAATTGAAAATCATTTTTGTGTATAACGCGACATTAAATTATTAGATGAATAAAATGATCACATATTTATAAAACATTACCATTTGGTGGTACTCGCACGTCATCTATTGCATCAAATGAGAACCATCAAAATGGAAATGATAATATTATTTTTTGTTTTAATTACTCTCATACTAAAACCTTCTACTTTAATTTTCAAAATCAAAAGGTGAAAATTCATTCAAAAAGGCCTTGAAATAACAACCTAATATTTGTAGAAGGCATTAAGTTCACTTATCCTTACAAATTGAAAACTGGACTAATAAAGAAATGCATGGACATTCGTTTCTTTTAATTGATTTTGTAATTAAGCCCCATTTGACGAAGTTTTTTTAGATTATATATTGGTCAAATTTTATTATTAACTACGCATTTTATTCGACCCATAATTTTTATCCCCATTTTTAATCACACATTTCATAAAACAATCAGCTTATAATCTCAAAAAGCTTTGTTAAGCACGGGCTAATTTTGACTAATTTATAAATGTATTTGAATTCATTCAGTATATTTCACAAACTAAAATATAAATCTACTCAACATTAAAATATAATAAATTAATAATATAATTTACAGAATCAACTATCGAACGAGCCGGAGTTATTAGAGTGCACCACTAATTCACCGTGGCATATTTTGAAGAATCAAATGCAATATCCTCTACCAGCCACCACCGTGCTCCAACATGAACATACGGCGGATGTGCCTCACCAACCGTTGGACCCTTTAACATACAGGAGATGTAGTGATTAAGTCCCTTTATAAGGACACAATTTTTCAGTTCACTCTTTGCTGATAAGGAGATGGTGCTAAAGTGGAAAAAGGGTGATGATCTGCCATCATGGAAGAGTCTATTATTGAACGTTGGGAAAAAAGAAGATTATCTATCGTTGACGACAACATTGGTGGTGGTTGTGGGGATGCATGGTTGGAAAGGGTTTGATTTGGTGGATGGGAGAAGAATAGGCTATTTTGAAATATTTTTTTCTCCTTAGTTATATTTTTTATATTAAAATTAAATAATGGCAATTAGCTCCCATTTGGCCCCCCTTTTTCTTTCATTTTTTTTTCACTCTCACTTTCAATCACCAAATCTTTCATAAAATAATGTTACACGTAAATCGAAAAAAAATTCTTCTTTTTTAACCATGCAGTCTCCACAAAAAAAATTAATCCAAACATTAAAAATTGAACGAAAGGGGGCTAAACCGAGACTAAGAGAATTGGCATCGACATTTTTACCCTTCTAAATTATGTCATTTAAAGAAGCACACGCATACTTATAGGAATAAATGGACATAACCAGATGAGAAGAGTCATTCGCACAAAGAATGATCGATATGAGTGATCAAATGTTAACAAAATAANCTTCGTAAATCGTCGGTGACCATTTTCAAAGGTTCTCGGTAAGTCGTTTGCCAAACGACCAGTAAAGAGCGCGTCTCCGACCAGATATTTGAAACACCGACGTTGCTGCAGTTGACGAGGTACCACCGAGGTTGTGGTTTTAACTTTGTCGCATCTCTTTCTGATTTTGGCATCATTCAGGTCAGGGAAGACTTGAAGATCTGTTTCTAGTTCTCTTCATCATTATGTTTCTGTGAGATTGCAATTGAAGTTTTGACAACCCGATCAGATTGTAACAAACTGAGCATCTAAAATCATTTTGAAGAATCGGTATATTTCTGTAGCACCACCCAAATCATTTTGATATTCACAGAACTGAATGTCATGATTTGGGTCTGTTACGTTCTGCAAACTTTTGTATTTATTTTTTTGAATTCTCCACGATTGCAGGAATTTAGGTTGCATTCATTTTCATCTTGTGTGTTTTCACCAATAGAGTCAAAACCAACTATAGCTTGCACTATTTTTCATCCTGTGAGTTCCTATTAGTATATTTTTTCAGGTGCAGGGCATCATTTTGCAATTCTGTTCTTAATTCATTTGTTCTGAATGTCAGGATGAGAGGGACGAATTTTGGAGTGTGTCACAGTTGTAGAAGCACGGCTCATTATTTCAAGGAATGCCCGAGAAAACTTAGATGCCCATGGTGTCCACATGGAACTCAAAAATGTTTTCAGGTTGAGAAGAACACTGGTAACAAGGGTCGATTATTTCGAACTTGTAGTGATGAGTGCGGGTACTTCAAGTGGGTTGAAAATGAAGAATCAAGCGGTGAAGAATCGAGTATTGTTAATGAAGCTGTGAATGTTGTGGCTAACAAGGAATTGGAAGAGTTGCCAACCATGTTTGACTCTCTTGCTCGAATAGCCAGCAAACGAGACGTTGAGATTTCGGTGAACATGACATTTCGCAAGGGAAAAGGACGTGAGGAAGATCATGGGAAAGGAAAGGGCCCAACACATTGAACGAGTTCTTTGTATTGTGCTTCAATTATAGTTAGTCGCGAACTAGTTATTCATACTGTGTTTGAGTTGTAGTTAGTTGTTGAACGAGTTATTTGTATTGTGTTTGTTTTGTGGTTACTTGTTGAACTCACATTGAAGCACTTTTGCAACTACTTTGGTCGGAGCGAAGTGACCACGATAAGTAATACATGAATTCAGTTTTATTTTCATTTGTCAATAGCAAATTTCAGAGCTCTACGGTCATTTCTCAATGTTTATTAAGTTCACGTAATTTTTATTGCGAATATGCACTTGAGTTTCAGAGACTCAATCAGAAAAATCGACAACAGAAATTGGAGTCCAATGCATCATGGGAAAATACCATGAAGAAGATGGCTCTATTTTACATGAAATAGTCCACAATTCAATGGATCAACAACAGAAATTGGAGTCCAATGCATCAAAAAGAAGATAAGGAAGCAGTCCCTGAAGCTGAAACTGAAAATGACGAAAACATGAAACCGGCTTCTTCTTGCAGCATATCGAATACCATCAAACTGGGAAAGCAGACTGAAACTGAAGCTGGAAATTAGAAACTGAAGCTGGAAATAAGCCAAGCCCATGTATCAATCTGCAACATTTTGCATTTTCAAATGACAGGATAACAGAAATAAGAACCATTTCCATTAAGTTTAGTAAGACTTAAAGAAGTTAAACATGTTAAACAGAATTATAAAGACTTGCATGTGTAGTTTTATCATAAAATCAATAAAGCATATCAACAAAAATATTAGTTATAATGCATGAGTAATAATGCTAAAGCAGAATGTGATTATCCTCTCCTCAGTGCAATCTCAACATACTTCAACTGCTTGATATGCTGGCTTTAATGTTAAAAACCTTTTTTTCATAATTGCTGGAGACAGTGACTAAAACTTCTCTCTTTCAAATTCTTATCTGAACTTATGGTTCCAAAAGCTAATTATAAATAATTTCACAATGTGTAAAATGATTAGTGTAAAATGATTAGTGCTATTTTAGTTTTAAGTAGAAATTTCACTTCACAACACCCAATTGCAATCCAAATTCGTAACATCAACCAAAAATACGAACAGCATAGCACCACAAGCACTAATCTTCAAAATACGAAATCATAATTTGTTATATAGAAATACCTATCCACAAGCTGATCATTGCATCTATTGTTGGCTGCCCTTGTCCCCCTACATTATGTCACACCCAGAATAAGACTGCAAGCAAATTAAAAAAAATTAACTTGAAATATATCAACACAGTTGAAAAGTATGCATACCAAAAAAGGTTGCGAACATGACAATGGTGTCAGTGATGAGCACTGTTGAGATGCCTCAACATTAGGTACGCCTTCATCTGCAATATTGTGTCTAACTCTCGGTCTCTTGCCTTTTCCTGAACTTGAACTTGCCTGCATGTACATCGTTCGTGTATATGAGAATTTGGATTCTAACTTTGTTTCAATTAGTAGGCTATGAGAATAAAATACCTTTACTTTCTTCGAACTCGACTCCAACGGGCCTCGTTGTCGAAGTTTCCTTGGCGCACCCTTCCTTTTCGACAATATAGGATCTAGTACATTGACGGCGAAATGGTTTTGAGAATCCGACCCATGAGATATTACATCATTTTGATGAGCACCATTACTCGACTTTGTCAGTATGAGTTCTTTCGCTTGAACTTTTATCCACTCCATTACCGCCCGTGCTCGGGCTTCATCATCCGCAACAAGATCCGCCACCTCTGAAAATGCCTGACACATTTCATCATACCTCATCTGTGCAGGAGTACTGATCAACCCGTCATAGTGAATTGCAACTCTCGTATGTGCTCTACTTACATCCCTCCTCCATCTCCTCAGTATAAACTTATTAGGCAGTACTGTTACATCATTACGGATCAATACAGCGATTGCATGCCTACAAAGTATCCCTCGGAACTCAAATAAGTGACAGCTGCAAGCAATGTCACATGTATCCCTCGTAAATGAAACCGAAAAAATCTTTTTCATCCTATGCTCGGCATATAGTAAGACATCCTCCCGAACTTCGTAAATCGTATTTGGACATCCCTCTAAAACTGATATGATGTCACAATATACCTTCCCAATGAACTCGGTTTGAACTTCTCTGAACTTTGTGATAGTGTAAACTTTTTGATATTGCTTTTCGATATCATAATTCGTCACGCATGGTACCATTTGCGAGTATGATTTAAAATCAGCTTGAAACTCTTTCTCAACCTTATTCCGTAGTGCTCTTTCATATTGTTCGACAAATTGCTTCAAAGAGGTCTTTGAGTGCACGTATCCATCAAAGAACGCATTCATACTCTCACTTCGTTGTGTTGTGGACATGCCCGCCCAGAATGTGGTCTTCAAGAAACACGGTACCCAACGACCTCTGTTTTCAAACAATCCCGACAACCAGTCATTATCATACAAATTGTACCTATCAATCATCGTCCTCCAACCGTTTTCGAACTCGTCAACGAGCTGTGAATCATAGACTAATCGATGTATAGTCGAAAAGATCGAAGCCTTATCAACATGATAACCAAACTTCTCAGGCAACTTCTTAAGGATATGCCACAAACACCATCTATGCTTCGTATGCGGAAATACAATACATTTGGAAAGAATCGTAAATAATATTCTTTTGCTATATCAACGAGTGGACAATTTTATCCTACCCACTATAAGAGGAAAACAATTTCGATGAAAACAAATGATAGGACAATTTGGCATCAATTATCTACTAAATCAGTGGGGACAGGAAAACGATTTCGATGAAAACAAATGATGGGCCATTTGGTATCAATTATCCACTAAATCCTTATTCCTTCATTCATAACCGTCTATTACTCTTAATCTTCCTCAGTAGCAAGACCTACTAAACTGTCACTTTCTATCTCTTTATTACTCATTCCCCCATTTCTTTCTTGCGTGTACGGTCTTCTTCCAAAGAGTAATTTTTCTATTAAAATAATACCACACAATAAAAAACTTCCTCAGCTCTCATTTTCAATTATGGAGGAACCAGAACGCCTACCTCAAATGCTCTCACCATGCAGTAGTGGAAAAAGAGTTAACAAATATTCAAATTCACCCGAGTTTGAGTTCTGGATGATCCGGAACCCGTCTTTCCCTCAGCTTAATCTACACACCGCCGATGAGCTTTTCTCCGATGGTGTACTCCTTCCTCTGCAGCTCCTCCAGCCACAGTTCTCCGTCGAACAATCTGTCAGTCAGCCTTTGCCTCCGCCGCAAGAGCCGGAGCCATTGGGTTTGGATCAAGTACAGGAGATCCAAATTGCCAGTACTGCTGAATTAACTGATTTGTCATCTACTACCCCATTTACTTCCTTGAAGCGGTGGAAGGATATATTCAAGAAAAGTGATAAGAAAAATGCAGTCAATGTTAGTAATGGTAATTCAAATCGTAGTAGTAAAGAGAAGAAGAGTGAGAAGAAGAGTGTTGGTGGTGGTGGTGGAAGTGTTGGATGAATTTTGTGAATAGTGACGCTGAAATAAGTATAATGATGGTGACAAAGCCGAGGCAAGAGTTGGACTCTTTGTCCTTAAGTCGAATTTGCCCCGCAACGGTGCCTACGGATTTCGGCAATCGACTCCCAAGATACAACGGCTACACTTGTGTTTGTAGCACTCCAAAACACAAGTACAACGAACCAATTTAGGTTTATGTACTCCAAGGATGAAATGAAAGAAAATCAAAATAAGCGAAATGATTTTGATTTTGGATAGAAGAGAGGATGAAATCGTTTTGCATATCAAACTGTGAGGAATAGGACACCCAAAGGGTCCTATTTATAGACCATGAAGGGGTGTGGACGAAATGGTTGAGACCAAACCATGCACCATTTCCAAACAATGCATATTTATGAAAAGGTGTCTATTCACTAATGGTTGAGGTCTTTTTCGTAATTTCTCATTCATCCGATATTGATTTTCGAAATGCCAAATATACCCTTCAATACATGCAGAGAAATCAAAATTCTCTTTCGGGGGCGTTGCCCTCCAGGAAGTGGCCGAGCAGTCCTAACCGAGGTGGTGTCCACTTAGGAAGGAGCAGCCCTGTCTGGCAGGTCCGCCGTTGCGGCGGTAGACGGAGCTCTGAGGCGGTGGCGAAGAGTTTTACTGAAGAGGGTCTCAAGAAAGGCGAGAACGATGGTCGTCGGAAAATCTCCACGGCCGGTTCCGCCGGTGGTGATGTTGGTAGGGCCAAAGGAAGGGTATTGAATCCGAATGTTCCTATAAGTATAGGTTACCGGCATAATTTGGGGGGTAGAAGTGATGAAAATAGTACAATTGGTGCTACTGCCGCCGCCGCGGCTGGTGGTGGTGTAACTGGCAGAGGTGTCTCCGGTGAAGGGTTACGTGGCAGTAATTTATTCAATATCCGAAGCCTCTTTACCAAGAAAGTCTATTAATTATTTTCAAAACCGGTATACTTAATTAGTTCTTTATGATGACGTGCTTAGGCCATGAGACTTTGTCTTCATAGTATTGGTATTTTAATTTTTTTCCCCATGTCATGTCATGTGTATATTTATATAAATTATAAATCATACTGAGCGACCAGTTTCAGACATCAAGACGTGTTGTAAAATTAATTTCTTGCAACTTATACACTTCGCATGGTATATAATTTGGTAACGTGTTATCGAACTGCAATTTATTGACAATTCTACTTGGAAGTCCCATAATGTTGAGTAAAATAATGTAGTACGCAACTGTCCAATGACAAATTCTGCACTACCTTAAAAGTCATTAGTCACATGTCACGTGTGTTACTTTTTCATTTTCGAATTTCACTTTTCTCTTTGAAAATGAAAATTTTCATTCATACGAATGTTTTGTAGGAATTAAAATTAAAATTTTTAGTAAATTGTGATAGAAGTTTTTGAAATGTATGGTTAAAATATTGTGAAATTCATAAAAATTGTGGTTAATATTGATTATTTGACTTTAACTTAGATTAAAATTAAATTTTAATCCAAACCAAACTTGTTAAGACTTCACGAGCCACATTATTTCCAATTATTTACTAAGAATTATTCGTTAGACTCAGTTAATTAAGAAATGAAAGCTCGACTAAAAGTCGCAATAGGAAATCTTGTACTTATTAAGCTCATCGACCAACTTTTCGCAAAATTTTCATTGAATACTTCGTATATTGAATTGAATATTATTAAAATGAACTTAATGACTTGAGAAAACGTCAAAAATTGGTGCTGGGGGACAAAAGTTGTAAACAAAGAATGTAAAATGAGTAATATTTATTCTAAGGTCGAAAAATTGTTTGAAACCATAATTTACCTTTGACAAGTAAAAATAAATAAGTCTGCCATTGTAGGGGAGTTTATATCAAATTGACAAGCATTGCCAAAGATTTAATTCGGAGGAGAACATTCCTGGTGAAAACGTAATGAAAAATATATGGAAATTGCATTAATCTTAAGAATCCTGGCAAAATTGGTTTTTAATTAGCGGAAAATAGGCAGAAAACTAAAAAAAATACAAAATATTTCAAAAAACGATCTTTGAAAGAATTAAAAATGACTACTTACTCAAAGTCGAATATAACAGTGATTTAAAAATATTTATGTGGAACTTACACAAAATCATACATTAAAAATACAACATTCTAAAATCAGGTGGCAAGTTTAACAATTCAAAAATCAGAATTTTTTTTAATCAATATTTTTATTAACCAAAATCCCAAACCCTAATAAAATTACATTGATATACCCACCCCACCCCTAAATCAATTCATTCTCGCCTCCGTCCTCTCTCTCTCCCCCCTCCCTTCATTATCAAACGAAATCTGTAATCGGCGAGTTGACCTAGCCAGATCCATTGCTGCAGCCACGATGACGATAATCAGGGAGTTGACCTGGCGAGATCCATTGCTACAGCCACGACGACGATGTTGTCGTCGTCGGTGGTTTTATTGGTAGTGGTGGTAAGATTGAGGTGATGATTGTGGCATCAGTTTTGGGCGATGTAGCTCGTGGCAACAGCGCCATTTCTGCAGTGGTAGAAGTCAATCGGAGTTTTAGTGATGTTGGATCTAAATTTGTGGTGGCTGTGGAGTGATTTTGGGGTGGTGGCTGTGGTGTGGTGAGATGGTGCAGCGGTGGCGGGTTTAGGGATTTTGTGGTGGTGTTGACGGTGGCGTTGGTGGTCGTGTTGTGTTGGTTGATGATGTTTGGTGCTATAATGGTGCTTTTTGCAGTCGTGGCTATGGTTGCTGCGGCGGTGGTTTGTGGTGTGGCGCTGTTAGGTTCTGTGAAGAGGCCGACGATGCTGTGGGCAGCTCTATGGTGGTGGTGTTTGTGCGGTAACGGTTTTGTAGTGGCTACTGTGGTGGTGGTGGTGTTTGTGTGGTGACAGTGCTGTGGGCCGCGCTGTGGTGGTGGTGGTGTTTGTGTGGTAACGGTGCTGTGGGCTGCTTGTGGTGGTGACGATGTTTGTGTGGTGGATCTGACGGTTTGAGTGGGGTTTTGTGCAGGTGACTGTGAACCTACGATGGTGGTGATGGTGTTTTGTGTGGTGGTGATGATGGTTTTGTGGAGGCAACTCTGAATCTGAGATGGTGGTATATTGTGGTGTTGATAGGTTGCATAAGGTGGTGGTGGCCGTGCTTCATTGAGGGGGTGACAGTAATAGTGATAGTGATATTTGTGGCGGTGGGAAGAAATGGGGTTGTGACCAATTAATTTGGAAATTTGTGACATACAAATAGGCCTGGGCGTGGTTTGGTTTGGGTTGGTTTCGACCTCAACCCAAAACCAAACCAAAGTAGTCGGTTTGAGCAAAATTAAAACCAAAACCAACCCACTCTAACTCTCAAACCAAACCAACCCAAACCACTTCGGTTCGGTTTGATTTGGTTTGGTTTCTCGGTTTGGACTTTTAAATAATATTGTATTGTAACTTATAAAAAATGGACAGCAAACAATGAAAAAGAGATCAATAATTCGGATTCAAAACGACCACAATTCAAGAAAGAGGAAGACAGGAACAAAAATTACAAAGGTTTAACATATTAGATTCAATTCAAAGAATAAAAGTTACAAATTACAAAAATTTAGCAAACTACAAATTACAAATCATGAATTACAAAGTGACACTATATTCTCATAGATAATTAATATAAGATTTAGGCACTAGAGGATGGAAAGCTACGATTCATAGAGGCTTAGAGGCTGCAGCAATTTCTGGCAGAGCAATAGTCAAATTGTGGTGTCGAGACTCAGAGATAGAATATGGAAGTAACTTGTAAGATAACTTTTGAATTGCAACGGGAGAGATTGGAGTCTGGAAAGGAATGAGAAATTGAGGCTCGATTGGAGACTTGGAGAGATTTAGAGTTAGTGGGTTATCATATTTATTTTGACTCCTACAGTTCTACTTCGTCTATGAGTCCCCTTTCTTTC